CCCTTTTTTTCCCCCCTCTGGCTGTTCTTAGTTTCAACTCTACCTCAAAAGGTCTGGGAGCATATTACGATCAAACCAGACGATGAAAAGAGAAAGTTTGAATAACGGAAAATTTCTTCGAGATCAATCAACATTATGAATATTAGGACACAGCCACTTACCTTTACTGATGAAAATTAAGTCCGACATCACTTTGCTTTCCTCGCAAAAGTTAGAAAAACGCTTGTTGTAGTTTCTTGCTCGTTGTTGTTTTCAACAGAAAGCAACGACGCTCGACGAATCAGACTGCTCACCATCATTCTCTCGCCAAGTGGAGAGAGTTTTGTTACTCACGGCCTTGCTATGAAACAGCCTGGGAGGGCATAGGCCGCGTTCAATCTGGCGACAGATGGCACCCGGTTTCGACGACAGCCGACAAGCCAACCGAGGTTAGAAACGTCGATTGAGATTTGAATGGCTGACCGACAAAGTCGTCTGCTGCGGCGGCATCGGTTGTCACCGCGCATGCGCTGATACTCAAGACTCGGGGGTGAGAACGATTGATGAGTCGGAAGGAAAGATGAGCAGCCAAGCAATAGGCCCAGCCTAACCCGACGACAAGGAGAAGGATCCCAGTTTAGCAAGGAGAAGAGACGCTTTACAATTCCCTGTTTCCGAGTGAAGGCAGTCTATTTCAGGAGAATAATTAATTTTGCGTCTCTTCTTTTTTTTATTCGGAAGGGGGGAGGGGGGGATGGGTACATTTAGGTGTTTTTTTTAGCAGTTTATTGTATTAGAATTTCAAGTGTTTCTGCAGCAATTTGTCAGGCCCAAAGTTCTCAAACAAGAAGTCTTGGACAAAGACTTGGTAGCCTACTGCTACTCTATAATGATTATTTACAATTAAAATGATGGTTGAAATCTTGACAAAATGATGATGATGATGATGATGATGATGATGATGATGATGATGATGATGATGATGATGATGATGATGATGATGATGATGATGATGATGATGTG